TAAAGAGTTGTCTGAGCAGTCTGATTGTTCTATCTTCCAAGGTACCAAGGTAGGTTCAGCTAAAGAATCCAACCAGATATCTTGAGTTCCCCAGAGAGTGGGACAGCAAGTCAGTGCATTCTTCCCCAGCATATCAAAGCATATCTTAAATTCCCCAGGAGAGTCCCATCCAAGTTCCCTAGGAAAGATGGAATTCATCTCCCCAAGCAGTAAGCTTATCCCCAGTAAATTCTGGAAGCTTATCCTTCACAGGACACGAACACGTCGTCCCGGCTTTATTCAAAGAGTTATTTCCTTAACAGGATATAACTGGGTTATCCTCAGCCAAAAGCCAAGGAAAGGTCGTCGTCAACGTAGTTCTTTCCTATCCCCAGCGAAGTCTATTCACACTTCCAATACAACAACGGTATCCCCAACAGAGTTACTATCAATATTCAGCAAGGCATCACTCTCCCCACAGAGTATTGCTTCCCAGCATGATCATTAAAGTATCTTTTCTCCCCGCAGAATCCTCCATTTGCCAAGTTTATTCCGCAGCGGAGTCATCTTCTCCTACCGGTATCCTTGCAACTACTATCATCCCCAGCGGAAGCAAAATCTATTCTTCGACATCAGCCCAGGATACGACTTCCCGGCACCTGTCAAGGATTTACTTTCCTAGACGAAAACATACATAAAACATCACATACAGCATTATAGCATGCATAACGCACTGCATCATACAAATCTCATTTATGTTGAGAACATCATTGCTTGATTCATATCATGCATTGCACATGACTGACTTTTATCTTTCAGGAAAAACTCAGTTAAGTTCTCAAGCTACATTTCAAGACCTAGACTGGTTCAGTCAAAGGCCTTCTCTGGTTCAGTTAAATCGTCCCAAGATTTTCCTGATGCTTATCCCTTTGAAGACATTTCAAGACCTAGACTTATCCAGTCAAAGGCCTCCTCTGGTTCAGTTAAATCGTCCCAAGATTTTCCTGATTGCTTATCCAGTGGAAGACATTTCAAGACCTAGACTGGTTCAGTCAAAGGCCTCCTCTGGTTCAGTTAAATCGTCCCAAGATTTTCCTGATTGCTTATCCAGTGGAAGACATTTCAAGACCTAGACTGGTTCAGTCAAAGGCCTCCTCTGGTTCAGTTAAATCGTCCCAAGATTTTCCTGATTGCTTATCCAGTGGAAGACATTTCAAGACCTAGACTGGTTCAGTCAAAGGCCTCCTCTGGTTCAGTTAAATCGTCCCAAGATTTTCCTGATTGCTTATCCAGTGGAAGACATTTCAAGACCTAGACTGGTTCAGTCAAAGGCCTCCTCTGGTTCAGTTAAATCGTCCCAAGATTTTCCTGATTGCTTATCCAGTGGAAGACATTTCAAGACCTAGACTTATCCAGTCAAAGGCCTCTCTGGTTCAGTCAGATCGACCTTAAGATCTCCCTGATTCTTATCCCAGCAGAAGACACCCCAGATTTTTCTCAACGAGCGTTGTTGAAGTTAAAGTCGCCCAAGGCTCTCTTACCATTCATGCTAAGGAAGTAATCATCCCTGCAACGTGTCAGGTACTCATTTTCTGTTTTGCAGGTATGCAGGTTCTCGCTAAGGAATCTCCTATGCAATCAACATCCAGATGGCATCTATAAGCCCATCGTCCAATCCAGCAACATCCAGATGGCATCTATAAGCCCATCCCCCTCATTGCCAACATATGAGCGCAAATTTCCGGGCACTCTAGTGTCCAATCATCTTTTACCCTCGGATTACGAAAGGCGCGTCAGCCAATCTACATCCTCAGGTCTAAGAAGATTGAACAGGGGCAACTGTTATACCCCAAAATTTGCCCTCCCATATTCCTCAAGAAATTGCCAAGCCAAGCTAGAAAATTCCCCAAGGGTTGTGCAGTGCAACAGTCTCCCTACAGTCAAAGCTAGGGTTTGTGTGTTGATCAAGAAAAGGAAGTGTTCAAAGGTCCAATCAAGTCTCATATGCTTACAAACATGGTCAAGCATCCTCATATCAAGTTTCAAGGCATTCAGCTCAAGATTGCACAGTCAAAACCCTAAATTGCACTACAGTCAACTGTAGGGGCAAAATGGTCATTTGGCAGTCAAAAGTTCAAATTTTTGGTCAATATATCATTTTGAAGCCACAAACATCATTTGATCAATGCTTGATCATGATTCTCAAAATTTGGCTCAGAAATCATCAAAGATGCAAAAGTTGCTATATTTGGACAGCTGAAAAAGTCAACTGAAATTGACCAGGGCATAACTTTCACATGGATTATCAGAAAAATTCCATCCAAAGCTCATTTTGAAGAGAAAGACATTTCCTACAATTCATCTTCATGTTCCAAGTCCAAGAAATTCTCACAAAAATGGGCCAGGCCTTTCTAATTAACACCCTCCAAATTGGGATTCCCCCACCCTGGTTTGCATACTTTGATTATTTTTTATTTTTTATCTTTTTATTTATTATTTTAATTGTTATGTTTTAATTAATTCTTACAAAAATATAAAAACATTAAAAATACAGAAAAGGCAAAATAAAAATATGTAATTAATTTTGATTCTTTTTTAAATAAATTAAAATATCATTTAGTTTAATTAGGTTTTAATGATAATTTTAATTCTTTTTTCATAATAAAAAAATCCAAAAATTGTAGAATTAGGTTAATTATTAATTTTATATCCTTTTTAATTTTTTCCTTTTTTCTCACAATATTATTATTTATTATTTATTTTCTATAAATCAAAAAATGGCACATAAATTAGTTTAGAATTTAATTAGGTTAGAGATTAAATCTTTTTCATAATAAACTTAAAAAAAAATGATAGAACTAGGACTTTAATTTCAATTAATTTTTTCCTTTTTTCTTTCAAACCTAAAAAACACAAAAACATTATTTTTCATTTAATTTTTAATTATTTGTAAAAGGGTCCAAAGCCCTAATTTTGTTTAATCTTTTTATTTCGCGCATTTGTTTTATATTGTGTAAATACCTCTGTATATGCCCCAAAGCCATGTAATTAAAAACTCTCGGACTTTTATTTATTCGCTTTATTTTACTTTCAGTCAAATCGGGTTCGGTTTTTTTGGCGATGTGGACCCGCGCCCGTTGTAATAGTTAGATTTATTTTCTCGCAAATATAACTGTTAATAAATATGCATGAAAGAATGAATGCCCGAAAAATAAAATTGAACCGTTAGATCACCAAAGCATGACAAGACAAAATAATTGAAACATGACACACGGATCGCACACACCACCCCTAGGGTACGCCTCACTGTTGCCTTTCGAAAGGTGGTCGTCGAGTAGAAAACGTCTTAGTAAGTCCTCATGGTCCGGGAACCTGGCATGAGGGTAGCTTCTGAGGTGTCTTCCTATTGCTCCGGTGACCACCACGTCCCTAAAACTCGAATTGACCCGAACACCTCCAATGGTGGTGCTACCTACCTCTCAATGGTGGGATGGCACTACTTCAAAGGACATTTACACAGACGAATTCCTTAGGGTAGGTAGGTTCTCGTAGGTACTTGCTCTCTTCAAAACAAAATTCAAACTCTTTTTACACCAACACACTTTCAAAAACTTTCGAAACAAACTTTTCAAACACTCTGACGTACGAGTCGAACTGAAACTTTTCAAAGAATATTTTTGAAACCCACAATTGAAAAGCAAACAACAATTTTGAAAACACATTGAGCAAGTACCTAAGAGCCCATGGATAACCATGGATAGAAAGGGTGCTAACACCTTCCCTTTCTATAACCTACCTCCCGAACCGAGAGCAATCTCTTTAAAGGAATTTTTCTGTGCTTTTGTCCTTTCCTATTGGAGAAAATAAAAGACGGTGGCGACTCTTGCTTACCGCGACATTTCGCGAACCAGCGTTAAACAGTCAGTTCCAGATCCACCGATCACACATTGTAAATACACTTCATCAAACAATATTATTTTTTATTTTCAATATATTTTAGTCGATAATTTCTTTTATGTTTAGCCACACCAATATATAAAGTATGGATCCGTCCCTGACTAAGATCCATGACACTTTGACTCGACCCAATAAAAAATCCACACGACCCGATAAAAAATCCACACGAAAACTTAAGTCAATGGTTATCGGATCCATCCCTCAAATTGAAAGAAACTTTTTGGAAAAATATGTGTCCCTGATAGCAAGGTAGAAAAAGGACACAAATAAAGAAATTAGAATAGTTAGATCTAAATATATAGAAATATTAATGTCACTCCTTCAAAATCTTTTTCTTCAAAAACTAACTCCCAAATGGATCTTTAAGAATCCCAATTGAGAAAGAATCACGCAAATAATCTCTTATCTACGTCTGAATAGGTTTCAAAAGGACACTAAGAGTCTCAATTGAGCACGTCTGAATAGATTTCAAATAGACACCAAGAATTTCAATTGAAGAAGAATCTCACACAAACCATCGAATATACTTTGTTCATCTCTAAACCAGTGTTTTCAAGATTACTGCCAAAATACTTTTCTCAACAAATCCAAATATTTTTAAAGATCAATTTGTTGCTCCTAAAATTTTATTAGTGTAAATATATTATTTTTGCACCGAATTATGTTATAATATGTTGAGAATGTATATGATTAAATTGTTGTTGATTTAGTTTCAACCGTGCATGGTTAACTAAATCATAGAAACCATTCATATTTTTTTTTTCTGATTTAACGAATCGCACCATTATTTTTGAAAAATCAGATTATGCTTGTGACACGAAGCAGGCCAGTTTGGACCGGGTTCAGAACCGGTTTCAATTAAAATTTGGTTTCACTCAAACTAGTAAACAGATGAATAAAAGTTTACCACCGTATCTCTCTGTCTTCTCATTCTCTTCTCTTTTCTTCTAACACAACACATTTTTCTCTCTTTGAACAACCACTTTCACTTTCTTGTTCTCTCTAGATATGACCCAAAATTCTTGAGTAAAGTGCAGTCATAAAATCCTATTAACATAAAATTGTCAATTGTGATATGTGAACCCTCTGAATTGGGAGTTCCTCTTCTGAGTGGATGGAAATTGAGAAGTATGCGAGAAAATATATAGACTCGCTTGAAATCTTAATATTTCAGGCAACATAAGGATAGTGAACCAAATTTTCATCAACAGATAAAGAGAAAAGAGAGAAATATATTGTCGCATTTGAAAGCAAGCAGAGAGAATGAGATAACATTGGGCGTTTACAAAGTAGAAAATCATTTAGTTTATGTATCTTTTATACATTAAGCATGAACCTATAACCCTCCAGGACATCATAAGCATGTGTTTTCATTACAGAGCATGGCATGCAGTGCCAGGTACTTCAAAAAATTGTCCTAGAGGCACTGGATGGATGTTAGGGATTCTGGTTTGCTCTACCATATCGATTGTTTTATGCCGAGGCCATTGCAAGTCAATATAAGACCCTTGTAACGGTTAAGATAATCCTGTGACAAACAGAAATGAAGACGACAAATAAACAGAAAGAATCATTCATGTAAAGAAAACATTTGGTAAATATTCATGTTGGTGCTCAAAATTATAGGGTTGAATCAACCTAGTTTTTTTTTCTATATTCTTAATATTCCAAAATGATCTCTGAAATTGCAAATTGCAAAATGTTAATCAAGTTCGTCCCTCTATCTGAATTTGTTATCAAATGCAACTGTGATATTACTCTCTTAGTTTCAAATTCATCTCTGATATTACAAACTTAATATCATTCTAATCCCTACAAATACCAAAAGAGGAACGATTTTGATTTAAGACTTGGCAAAAAACAAGGAATCATTTAGAAATACCGATAATGTGAGGGACTATGTTGAAGCAATCCTACAACTTCAAGAAATAATTTGAGTATTTACTCATAAAACATTCTTTTGAAACACAGTTCTTGTTAGATAAAGACAAATATTCCTTACAATGATATTGTAATCGTATTCGTAACGCATCCCATTTATGTCATAGTCTCTCCTTTTATCTGGATCACTTAAAACTGCAAAATAAAGCCAAAGACATGTTAGATTATACAGACCTGACATAAATTCTCAAGCTATTTTGTCGGCAAATAATAAAGAATTCAGCATCATATTCAGTTATCACTAAATTAAAATTTACAACAGCACATGTCAGAAGGGTTCTAGACTATTAACTGCGGTGTCATATTTATTGAATCGCTAATCTAATCCCTTTCACAGCTGCTGTCCCAACCACAACCCATGTTGTCAAAGCATCGGAAGGATCATTTTTGCTATAGGTCACGTGCTTTTAAAATGAAAAAAAGAAACCCACCAACTATGTTATTAATTCTTAATTCCTAATTTGTTATTACATCTTACATACATCCCCGACAACAAATATTATTTTACAAGTCAAATCAACCAGTAGAGTGTATTACAAAACCAGATACAGACAAACTTCAATGGAATATTTCCCATTAAAAGGAAGCCGAGTAGGAGAACAAGTAATTGTTTTGGAGGGAAGAAAGAATAGGATCTAAAGCTTGAGAAGCTTCCCTCTTTTCTTTTCCTTCCTTAATCTTTTTTCAGGGGAGATACTAGAGAGGAAACATTCTGTTAAGCTTAAAAAATGCATGAGAAAAACTCAGTAGAGTGTGACCTCAAAGTTGTAAATAACTTTTTTTAAAATCTCCTAGAGAGCTAGAAATCATATGAGACTATATACTGAGCTATGATTAGGATGAGAGGTAACCAATGCATGCAAGATGATAGGGAAAAAACAGACTGCATGAATAATGTACTCTATCATAGATTAAGGTATTTGTAAGTCAAGTTTGAGATTCAATTGCTTAATTTGATTTCCATGCATTAACAATCTTGTTTAATTTGATTTCTGTGCCGGTCCACTCTCCCGGGATAGCGTTGCTATCCGCCGAGATTGATAACTCTGGTTCAAACTCTAATACTAATATAACATACTAACAACTAACGCTTACATAAAACAAACAAAACAAAAAAAAGACAAAAACCAACTTAAGCCATTAAAGTTAAGGTCTTCTTACTATGGCCTCTATTGGTCTTCTCATCACAGGGCCAAACAATGTTATGCAATATTGTCATATTTTCTGCAATTGGTGCTGCTCCAACTTGATCTCTAAATCTTATCACTTCTTCTATTCTATATGTATGTATAGTACTCATCCACCACAGTTTTTTCATCACAGTTATGTTATGTTATTCTAGCCACTTTATCTCCAAACACTTGGTACCATAAGCATCACTAGTTTTATGGCTGTTTGAATTTTTAACACTACAATTCTTATCTAGATTCTTGCATTTCAGGAAAATCCTAAATTTCCTGCACTCGTGCTCCTCAGCCCATCCAATCATGTACATCCCACATTTATCATAGGTAAACTAGACACAGGAATTTTCCAAAATAAAACGAGAGATACAAAATAGTGAGTTAAAATGGGAGCATCAAAATGGGCGACTACATGAAATTCAGGATTACAAAAAATGCAGCAAATCCAAATCAAAAAAAGAGAATCGGCAGCATAGAGATTGTTATTCTCAATGATTGTGGAAAACAATAACCAGTGTTATCAAATATCCGCCAAGGCAGCGTTATAGCAGGCATACATGGCAGCATTTGGGCTTGTCGCAATGGTACATATGGACCTATATTGCGGGTTTTTCCGCCATAATATGCTATAACAGCAGCGAAAAGCAGATGGTATGGCGGGATTTTGGCTCTCCGTCATCCGCCATCGACAACACTGCTACTATAGTATTCCATCCAAACTATAGTTCCAGCAAAAATAATCCAAACCATAATATAAGGGAATTCTAAAAGCAACTGCCAACTTAGTAAAATGTTATTTTTCTGTTGAAATTTGTATTTAACCACAAGAACACATTTTCTTTTCAAATGTTAACTTCAAAAACACACAATATGAATATTTAAACAGAAATTTAAATAAGTCCAAACAAAGAGATATCTGCAAATTGCTTTTTTCTACTACAGATAATAAAATGAAGAGAGTGATAAATACAATACCCTGATATGCCTCGTTTATATCTTGAAACATGGACGTAGCAGAGTTCTGGTCTTTCTGTTTATCCGGGTGCCATTTCTGTGTTAAAATTCATAGCAAAATAGATTATTAATAATATCAATCCCAAAACGAATGTACTTGGAACACAAAGAACAAGACACAAAAACAAAACGAAACTCACGAGAGCAAGACGAATGTAATTAGAGCGAATAGCATCCTCGTTAGCATCATAATCCACTTCCAATATCTTGTAATAATCCTGCATATCACAAATTAGTAACAAAACAAACCCTAAATTGATAAATAAATAAAAACCTAAGAAAGATTATGGAGGGTGAGGGTTTGGTGAACCTTGGGTTTGGAGAGAGGTGAGAAGAAATCGAAATTGAGATAGGAGTTAGGGTCGGGGATTTGATCGGGTTTTGGAGAGGTGGTGTGGTGGTGGTGGTGTTCGTCTTGGTCCCATTCCCACATCATTGGTTTGTGGTTGAAGATGGAGGGTGAGAGTGGTTTGGTTAGGGAAGAGAAATGATTGAGGTTGTGGTGAGTGGTCTTTTCATGCGTTTCTTGTTGTGACGCGTGGGTTCGATGATGTGTGTATATATCTGCTTGTTAGATATTATGTTTAATCAAAACATTATTAATTTTGAAATATATCATTAAGGATAATACAATACAATTTTTCTACATTACATTTATAAGATTTTTATAATGTTATATGTTTTAGTTTTATAAAAAAAAAATTGATTTAAATAATTATTCTTAAAATATTTTTTGTCTTATAGATCTTGTGGATAATAAAAAGTGGGAAGGCATAAAGATGAAAGGAAAATGACTTAGAATTTTTCATCTGATATTTGTTGATGATGTGTTTCTTTTTGAAAAAGAAAGTGATCGACAAATAACAAATATCACTAAGATTTTGATTAGGTTATGTGGAGCATGTGGCCAAAGCGTCAGTGTAGATAAGTCTAGTATCTTATTTTTCAAAAACACTTCAATTTATATCTGACACCAAATTGTGCAAGTTTTTGGCCTTAAAGAAACAAAGGATCTTGGAATGTACTTAGGAGTTCCCTTAACATGTCAACAACCTAAAGCTAAGCATTATCAGTACCTAATTGAAAAGGTGATGGCCAAGCTCACTAACTAGAAAGACAGACAATTATTCTTTGCAGGAAGAGTCACTCTTGTAAAGTCAGTTTTGGAGGCTCTTCCCACTTACACTATGATGAGTAATAAAGTCCCCACCACTTGCCTTTAGGAAATTCAGCAGATTCAAAGGAACTTCATCTGGGGGCATAATGAAAAGAAAAAAGAATGCATACCCCTCAGTTGGAAGAAGATTACTAAACCAAAAAAGAATGGAGGGTTGGTGCTGTGAAATCTCAATGATATGAATGAGGCTTGTATTGTTAAATTAGGTTGGAAGATTAAACATGGAGAAGAGTTTTTGTGGTGTAAAGTAATGTGTGAAAAATATGATAGAAAGAACACCAATGACAATGAAGTTCAAGGTCAAGTTTAGGATTGAAGCTTGTGGAAACAAATTGTGAACTTATGGCCTATACTTGATCAAATGACAAAGTAGGAAGTGGGAAATAACTAAACCATTAATGTTTGGTTGGATTGCTAGATTGAACCAGATGCCAAACTCATTGAATATTTAACTAGCCAATTGATAATATGGAGTATACCTTTATGTCAACCATCACGACTAGCAGCGGAAACTGGAACTGGAATCTTTTGAAAAATATCCTTCTTCAAGATCTAGTGGAGTGAATTTGAGCCATAGATCCCCCTAGTTTGGAGAGAAATAAGCATGAGCTTTCCACGTGGTGGGGGGGGGGGGGGACTAACACATGATATTTTACAATATCCAGTGTTTTTTTATCTTTTTTGCATGTACAAACGCAATACACTATCCTCTTAAATATTTTGATTGATGTCAAAACTAAGCAATATTTAGTATTTATAAATTGGACATTATCTTTATATGTCTAGATACGCATTTTCATCTTATGACACTTATAGAACAAGTTAAAAGCATTTGCATGAGTCAAAAATATGAATTTTCATGAAAAAAATATGTTTGAAGTTGACACATCCGTGTTAGGAATCGAATCCCTATGAAGCAAAATGTAAATAAAACTCTCTATCAAGGATGGATCGATATACATGCATCTGGAGTTGACACACACCACAAATCGGTCGACTTCCTTGAGTTGTGGATCGACTTCCACTAAAAGCATTTAGAGTCAACACACAACACGAATGGATCAACTTCCTTGAGTTATGGGTTGACTTCCAGTGAAAGCATTTTGAAACAAAATGTATTGCCCAAGTTGAGGCGATACATAGGGGCTTATGAGTTGACACACAACACGAATGAGTCGAATCCCTCAAGTTGTGGGTCAACTCCTACTGAAGCATTTTTCCTCAAATTTTTTATGTCCACTTGGATTTGACTCCCAGGCATCATGGGTCGACTCCCTCCTCATATATATCGACTCCCTAGGTGAATGAGTCAATACATTTTGACTTAAAATCATCCAAATTTGTAATTTTGCATTCTGATTTTTTCTGTTTCATTCTTTCACACACACACACACATGTATAAAGATATTCATGCATCATTTCAAATATTTTGAAACCAAAAATATACACATAATTTTTCATCATCTCCATCCCCTCTCATTGCATGCATACAACAACTATACATAATCATATTTGTTGTTGAAGGTACAGTAAACACAAGAAAGGGGGGGTTGAATTAGGTTTCTAGATTTAAAACTTTTTCAACCCAACACAGTCAAAGATCAAACAAGAACAAAAATAAATGAACACAATTATTTTTCTACTGGTTCACTGTTAACGAAGTTATTTCAGTCCATCTGCCAAGGTGATTTTTCCTTTCTCAATAAGAACTTAATCCACTATAACCAAACCGATTACAATCCACAAAGACTACCCGTCAATGTCTTCTTGAGAAATTTTGAGTATATCCTAATCTCTCAAAGAACAATCAACTCAAAAATTGAGATACAAAAGGTGTATTTACAAAGATGCTTCTAAGAAAGCAGATTACATAAGTTGAAATGCAAAGATAAACACAAAAGTGTTTCTAGCAAGTATATGAACAAAAGTTCCTTACTTTGCAACTATTTACACAAAGATGAAATATTTTCTTTAAGAGTTCACGTGAAAAGCTCTTAGAGAAAAAGTTATTTTCCATTCTTTCAAGTCTTCTTTATATAGCCAAAGAAAGATCTGTTGGAGGGTAGAATGAGAATTCCAAATTCCGACTGTATTCTTGTGTAACGATCAGTGAAAGTGGTAGATAACATCGTACTATAGTACAATCCTTGCGCCATAAAATCAAAGTAGTGGGACGAATATTTGATCTTGTACCATGTATTATTAACTCATGTAATACCTTTTTGATATTATCTTATAATATTCAAAAGCTTCATAATATGTGTTTATAAAGCATACTTAGCATGATCAAAACTAGAATGAGAGTCTTTAAAACCTTGTCTTCAGAGTCTTCAAAAATTGTTCAGCAGAACCTTGTCTTCAGAGTCTTCAAAACTTGGTCTTCAGAACCTCGGAACTTGAAAGTGCATAATCATCAGAGCTTGAGAAGTCTTCAGAAGCTCTTTCATCAGAATCACACTCAGAAGCTTTATGTGGAACCTTGTTTTGTAGGTAATAGGTTGTTGTTTTGATGATGACAACTCTGAATAACAGAACAAATGTTTAGCATGACAAAGATGCAACATAATTTCAGCATATTAAAGATTCAACAGAGATACTTGTCGCATTGTATATGCAAAAATGTAGCGGTAAAAATTTGAGACTAAGCCATTAATTAACTTAACTCATACCAGTGAAAGTTGCCACCGCACTTTATTGTTTCTAAAGAGAAATGGGAAAAAGGCGAACAAAACCCAAAATGAAATAAAATAGAGATCAAGGTACGAGGGTCGATTATGCAGATGGAATGTATTAGCACCCTAAGCATATACGGTACTCCGCAGGATCCACTTTGTTTGTTTTAATCAGATAGTGTGTTATCTAAAGCTTAAACTTGTTAAAGGGAAATGAATGAATGAGTTATTAATGAACAAGAGAAATGTTTTTTATTATTTTGTTCGTCGAGGTTGCGAACCTTTGTGCCTACGTACCCCATTTTGTGTAATAAGGGATCAGGGAACTCGTAGTTCTCCTCAAAAAGAACAAAACTTGGTTTGTTGATTGATTTTAAAAGAAGAGACAAGTCATCATTTTTAAAGGAGAAGACTCGTCTAATCGCCCACAAGGTATAAGAAAGAAAGATTATGCACCAACATGAAGGAGGGCTTGAGAACACCTCTAGTACTCAAGTGGAGAAGTCGAAGACCATGGGGATAGAGGAATAACATCTTGATTAAATATGAATCATGTCTAATCTGGAAAAAGGTTTTAAAGGATAAAAGGTGTTAGAGCACACAAAAAGGTTTGAATGAGGTTAAATATTTTTTTCTTTTTGAAAAGTGTTTGAATATGCTTATGTGGTTTAGTATTTATTTTTAAAACAAAGTTTGAAAAAGTCACTTAACAAAGTCAAGGTTTATTACGAAAATGGTTAAAGTTTATAAACAAAAAGGTTTTGAAAAAGATGGGAAAGTTTTGAAAATTAAAGAATGGGGCAGGAGATAAAGAGATTGTCCTATGTACAGGAGATAAAAGAAGAGGTAAAGAAGATCTGATCAAACAGAAGCTCATACTTGATATAAAGAAATCAATATAATGTTCTCATCCATTTAGATTTAAAGCCACAAGCAGATAAATAAATCAAGAGTATACTAAATCTCAGGTGAAAATAAATTACAAGGAGACATCATCAAAGAAACCTAAGGAATCAGATAAAACTCAAAGCATAAGATAAAGCGCATCAAGTGAAAATAAATCACAAGCCGGGAAAATGTACCAGGTAAGCTCAAAGTATCAGATAAAGTGTAAATCATAGGATAAAGTGTAAAGTATAAAGCTCAATGCGTCAGATAAAAGTCACTGCATTAGATAAAATTCCAACAGATAGACAAAACCAGTTTAGCAGAGAAATAAATCTGAACATCTCATGTGAAATAAGAAATTTGAGCCAAGTGGACTAGAAACGTGTACCAAAGCTAAAGTGAAACAAATGAAATATGAAAATGGGTGCTTAGTTAATTAACTTAAAAGTTGATTAAGTTAATTAATTAAGTTAAGAAAAATTAATTATCCGAAACTAATTAATTTTTAATAACAAAATTAAATAACTAAATCGACTTTTAGTAAATTAACTAAAAGCAACAAAGCAACATTATGATGAAATGAAAGTTTAATCGATTAATCAAGAGTTGATTAACTTAATTAATCGAGTTAAAAAAAATAGATTAGTAAACTAATCCATTTTTAATAACAAAATCAAGTAAATAAATCAAAACTCGATT